TGTGTGTGTGTGTGTGTGTGTGTGTGTGTGTGTGTGTGTGTGTGTGTAGGGCCATGCGTCGACCTCGCTGTGGCCTCCCAGACAGAAAAGCGGAGGAGATGAATGATGGCGCGAGAAAGAAACGCTACACTCTCACTGGACAGCAGTGGGGCAAAGACCACATCACTTACAGGTTTATAGCACTGAAATGTATAAAAAGAAAACAGCAAAGCAGAGTGTTCAAGGTACCAACTCTAACTCGCTTTTTCTTCTGGCTCCAGTATAATGAACCAGCAAATCCCCTCCTCGCTGGGCGAGGAGCGGACGTACGATGCGATCCGCAAGGCCTTTGACACGTGGAGACGGGTCACGCCGCTCACCTTTGAGGAGTTACCTGCTGAACACAACATCAGCATCAACAGCAGCCAGGCAGAGCTCGCTGACATCCTGTTGCTGTTTGCCTCTGGTTTCCATGGTGACATGTCTTTGTTTGATGGCGAGGGAGGGTCGCTGGCCCACGCCTACTACCCCGGACCAGGAATCGGTGGGGATACACACTTTGATGCTGATGAGCCTTGGACACTGGAAAACCAAAACCCACAAGGTTAGTGTGCTGATGTCCTGTGGGAATTGAACCTGTGACTTTCTGGTAGCGGCATGATCTCTCTAATTAGCTGGTTATCTGTGGTCTTGTCTCTCCGGGTCAACTGGGCTGCAACCTGAAGGGTTCACTGGGTGCATGTCAATTACTTGCTGTGATGCCATAATAATACAATCTAACCAACTGATTAGCTTGTTAGAATAATGTATTAGCTAAATTCAATTTTAATGTTTTCTTCAGCGGCAAACACCATCTTCATAGTGTTGTCATGGATTAATGAGACATGATACCTCTTTGGTTCATTTATGTTCTGTTTAATCTAGTAAATATCAATAGCTATCGTGTATGTATTTTTAATATAAATTGCAATGTATTATATTTGATGTATTCTATTCATTGCTGTAACATTCCTTTGTTGCATGTTAGCTTACACAAATATTTTTGACAAATATGTTCACACTATGCGTGTGTCACTGCAGGTATAGACCTCTTCCTGGTTGCGGTCCATGAACTCGGGCATGCTTTGGGTCTGGAGCACTCGGATAACCCCAGTGCCATAATGGCTCCTTTCTACCAGTGGATTCACACACACAACTTCACGCTACATGAGGATGACATCAGAGGAATACAGTACATATACGGTAAGAACGCACGCACTCTACTGACACACCTGTTTAAATCACTTTATTTAATTATATTTAAAGCCACCACCAGCAGAATTTGGACTAAACTTGAGAGCCAGTGAGTCCATTGATTTAGTATTCTACATCAGCTATTGCAAAGATACTTGTCTCATTTCTTAAAGACATACCACTGAAAGACAGCCAACTCAACCTGCAGGGACACAAAGAAAATGTGTAAAATCACTGAGGTTGAAGTGCAGAATGTCAGCTGTAATTCGATGTTATATCAGACCATCACATCTGGACACCCGTCAAATGAAACAAAGAAGCCTTGTAAAGAAGCTTTGTGCCAACCGCACGCATACATCAGGGAAACCTCGCTCAAAACAGCATATCAAGTATGCCGTTGTGATGTTCTCATGCTTTCCCTGGGTGAATAGACGCCATTGTTAATTGACAGATGGCATCTTTGTGTGTGTGTGTGTGTGTGTGTGTGTGTGTGTGTGTGTG